TTCTAAACCATATGAATGCAGAACACATGCAAGTTTTGACTTTTGAGCAGTTTAGAGTCTGCTTTAGCTCATTTATATTTTTCCTTGGTAAATTAGTTTTTTAAGTCGAGAGATGTACAGAAAAGCCCAACCCAAGCCCAGCCTTAAATCCCGATCAGGCCAAAAAATTCAAGGCCCAGTTAAAGCCCTGCCTGAAAAACCCAGAAAGATTGGCCTGAAAAAGCTCAATCAGGCCTGCCCAGCCTGGCTCAGGCCTGCCCAGCCTGGCTCAGGCTTTTCTTTGGCTTGGAGGGCCCAGGCCCTAAAATAACCCAGGCCTTGGGAATCTCTTTAGAACAGGTGCAGTGCAAGAACCAAAAAAGAAGCCGATTTAAAAGGCAAGAACTCACCGAAGGATCAAATGCTTTTCCAACTGTTGGTACAGCAGCCACATGTAAACTCCTCATAATTTCCACAAATTGTTTGTATATTCCTTGATAACTTGCATCAATCTTCTTCTCCTGCTCTGTTTCTAGCTTCAGTTGTTGCTTTGCTCTCTCAAAGTTATCAACCATGGGCAGAAGAGACTCAATCACTTCACCCTGTGCATTACTCCTAACCGTAAGCCTCTCCTTCTCTGACCTTTTCCTAAAATTATCAAAATCTGCTTGCAACCGGATATATYTTTCCTTCCCAGAACTTGTCTCGGCTGACAAAGCTTCGACCCGCTCCAATAATTTATTTTTCTGAACTTCTACATGACATAATGTAGCCTCGATGTCAGATGTAGTTGTGTCATCATTAGTGAGGATAGCTTCTCTATAAAGTTGAAGCAASGACTTCACGGTCAATGCAATCTCCTGGTCTGCATCGCTTTCAGATTCAACATCATCTGACTCAGCCTCCTCTTCACTTGTCTACCCAGAAAAAGGATAAAATAAATGACATATAAGAGAGAGCATCTGGTAATGGAATGCAATTATTTTTTTGAACTTGTCAAGAAGAATGGATGATTGGAGTTTTGGATTTAATTGGACAAAACAATTAAATGATAAGAAAATCACCAGCAATGACTTCTCTCCCAACAATACTTATTGCAATCCTAGAATATTATCAATCAAATGAAGCATAATGCTTAATTATCCCTCATTCCTACTGACATAAAACTTAACAATGTTTCCTCCAATTTAGATGCTCCACCAAATTTGTAGGACCTAATAGAGATAGAGAGATGATGGTTTTAGATCAATCATGAAATCCTTGTCCACTTTGAACCTGAAATGTTATGGGTTGACCTCACAAGTCAATTTGTAGCTTCTGTTTTCAGGGAGTAAAACTATCTGGTGAAACAAATTGCCATTCGGAAGGATATTGATGAATCAAGTATCCTTTGGCCATAGGCCTTAACTTTACAGAGATTCATGCTTTGTAAACAACAGTTTGTTCTTTTGCTAGGATGGCGTCAAAATGTGTCGAGTGTCAACTATAACAAAAACACTTGAAACAAACATAGGTTTTCCACAGATGCATCAAGTTATTTCAGAAAACCATAAGRATATATATTCCAGTGATGGGCCTAATAGGCCAAGACTAAAATGTAAAAATAAATTGCCATCAAGATTATTCTAAGCCGAAAACGACTCCAACATGCATAAACCAACTGTAACCCTATTTCCTAACCCTCCTCAAGTTGAAGCATATATATGAGCTATTTCCAACTTGCCAAAAAACCCAAAATCTAAATGTCAAGAAAAAATAAAATTAGTATGACATGTATTTGATCTTCAAAACTCAAACCATCTCGCAGCACAAAGAAAACCACATGACTGAACAACTGTTGACTCGCTTTGCATTACATGACTGAACAACTGTTGACTCGCTTTGCATTAGTGATAACAATGAAACAAATAAGAAACAAAATCTGATAGAGAAGAACAAAGTGAAGAAAATATCTAAAGCCAAAACCAAACATCAAAAAGTATCCAAGAATTCATCTAAGAAAAAGCACCAAAGCATCACACAGGAATGAATAGACCAAACCAAGTATCCACATGATAGATTAGTAATGTATCGAGCATATCTAAACAAATCCATGGAATTCAACCATGTGCCCAGGCCCCAGCAACCAAATAGAGTAGCAAGAAAAGCATGCCAAACCAATTAAAAGAAGGGCCATTTTCGGTATATCCCCATCTGTGTACAAGGGGCAYGTGGAATCCCGTGTGAATCAGCAAGGACCACCTTGCAAGGCTAAGTACTCCTGGGGGACCGATACAATCTAGCAACACTACAATTTATTTCCAACCACCAACCAATTCAAGACAAATACAAATACCTCAAGCCTGCAAAAGAATTCCCAATACCAAGCTAAAACAAAGGAGTGCACTTTACAAGTATTCCTTGTTACTTTGAACTCTAGAGATGATATGATGGTATTGGTATAAAAATAGATGTATAACGTTATACCCCGGGTATTATAGTCAATAAGTGAATTGTAGTATAGGGTACAAGTGTTTACTGTTGGGCTACAGTGACCGAAAACGTTTGTTTAATCGTAATTTTCAAGATTTATTTGATCATTACATACATTTTTACGGAGGAAACCAACAACAAAGCTTTTCAAGTCGTGGGTTTGTGGGTTCTAGTTCTTCTTCTARTGGTCATCAACAAAGTCGAGAARGTTGATGACTAATTTAATGAACGATGTTTTAAATGAATCAAGTAAAAAAATTCGATTTGAGAACGATTTGTATGTGCATACTAGCTTTATGGCTGCATGCCCTGTCGAAGAATTTGAAAAAATTGCCTGACATGAACCCAAATACTCACACTCATTCTACAAATGTGCCTCCTTAAAGCATCTTCAACAGATTCTTCAAAATTTCTCCCTCATAAACATTTCAGATCAGAGTTTCCTATTCGTGAGAATATAATAAATAATTATCTCTCTGATGRTAATTATTTTTGGGATTTCTCCAAATTCGGAGAATTTCACACTCTCTCGTGCTTCCACCATTTTGAAGAAAGTTWTTGTAAAAATCTGTTGTAGTAAAAATTTGCCCAAAATCTCAATTTTCTCCATTTTGGAGATGCTCTTACATACTAAAATAAGGGTCCATTTACTAAACATTTACCAATTTCACTTACCTTGCCGATTGAACATGGCAATGACTGAACCTCTTCTTCGGTAAGAGGCATAGTAMGGATCGAGAGTATTACCCAATGAGGGAAAAAACTCTTTACCCGGTAAGCACTTACTAGGTCAAGATTCTTACCAACAATCCATCAAAATGCTACAATGATGTCCACATCGTTACCTACTTAACTAAAGTCATGGGAACTCTTAGTCTAAAGAAGCACAACCATACCAACCACTCGGGATTGAGATAGCCAAATGATCAYGTAAACTCAATAGGAATTCTTCACTGATGTCATTTTCTCTCAAAGCCTTATTCAGTGATGAATACAAAAAAGTACTCAAATAACTGAAAAGCATGATACAAGTTACTTAASGTCGTTTATCAAACGCTTATCTGAGRTAAGCGCTTACCAAGTCATATTACCTTAYAAATGAATATGGTAAGGACCAAGAGTCTTACCCGGTAAGCAAGGGCGATGATTCTTACCACGGTTAGTGCTTATCTGAATAATTGTTGCATACAATGCCATTTTTGTTGACTAAAATCTTACCCGATAAGTAAATGATAGTGTTCAATTTTACCGGTAAGCGTTTGGTAAATAAACCCTAGTTTCTTATTTTACAGCAGCATAACGACATCTTAAACACCAAATCATGGGACACCCACGTTCCCTTTAGGTACAAATGGCATCTTTAAGGACCTACTATCGTTCACATAAATCCCAACATGATTCAAAAGACCAACCTTCAGGATCATCACATATATAAAAGGAACATGCCAAAGATACATACACGCATACATACATATACATATATAAAGGTGAATTATTATGCAACCCTTTTACATTTGTACAACCAATACAACTCAATMTCAACCGTCCATTTAATTTGATGATATGTGATTTCATAAAAGTTTGATTGTTTCCTAACATAAAGTATTGATCATAATTAATGAACTCTAGTCATCTTCYATATATATTCAAATCATAACAAATGAACTCTCATCATTTCTATAAATATCTCAATTGATTGGGTTGCATTGTTTGTACAAATAGACATGGTTGCATTTGAAAAATACCCTACATATATATATATATATATATATACACACATATATATATATATATACATATACATATATATATATGATTCAAAAGACCAACCTTCATGGTCATCACATATATAAAAGGAACATGCCAAAGATACATACATATATATACACATACATATATATATATATATAATATATATATGATTCAAAAGACCAACCTTCAAGATCATCACTTATATAAAAGGTAAGATTACAAACTTGTGAGGACCGATATAAAAATATGTTTTTACATTATCTTTTTGATCAAAAACTATGATTTAACATATTGTTTCACATATGTTTGTGTTCACCTTAAGAAAAAAAAAAATTGCATGTGTTTTGATTCGCTTAGTGAAACGAAAACACATAAAAAATATTCATATGGTGAAACAAATACATGTGGAACTACCACATCATGAAACAAAYATATGTGAAATAATATCTTAAAAATCCTAGCATTTGATGAAATAAAAGCATGTAAAAATTTATTTTTAAATCGGTTATCACAGGATTTGTAACCTTTTTGTGGTTCTTATTTGATTTAACCTCTATATAATAAATATATATGTATATGTATATATAGATACAAAATACATACGCCCTCTAACGTTGTTTGAAATAAATTATGTAAGGATAAATCATACCTCAAAGGGAGCCGACCCAAATACCYGAATAGGCACCTTCAACCAGAAAGCTTTCCAGAAAGCAAAGCAATCAAACTCGAGTACTAATTGTTTGCAGGTGTGTTTGATATACATGACAAGATCAAACAAAAAATTGTTGTCCCTACGTTCGATGTGACRTTAGACTTGGACAAGATAGGGTCTAAGGGGGACAACATGCAATTTTTTTGTCCCACCAAAATAGGTGGAACAATAATCATGAAAATGAGCAAAGATCGACAAATTACTAAACTACTATGTCCAAATTTATACCRTATGTAATTCTTTCACCCACCTACCTCATTGTCGTCCATCTAGTCTTGTCTGCCTACCAAACACACATGATTTCCGTACAAGTTTTTGAAGGAAACCAAATGGAACATGTCATAAGTGTCGATAGAAAAACATTTTCTTTCTTTAATATGTACAAAATGCTGATGTTATTTTGTACCATTACTTTAGAGTTTAATGAATAAATAATAGCAGGCCARGAACTTGTGCAGAAAGAGGGTAATATATAACTTACAAGGGAATTAGGTTCAAATAATAAAAATGGGATTAAAATGCAGAGTTTTTTTTGCTAACCCCAAGTATCCGGGCCAGCTTACATGCACCTCGACTATTCCATGGGGSCCTGAGGATAACAATCGGGATAATCATCAGTAGCCCTAAGGAGACTCGAACGGCAACCGAGGAGGTAGTCCACACAAGTAATGACTAAAATCGAACCCAACAGCGAGTGCAGAGCGCCATACAATCACCCTTACAATCTACAATATAACCCAATACTTTTGGATTACGGAGGAGGAGATTCCGTAGTGATTTTCCTTTTATWTTCCATTGATTTTCCAGGATTTGGATGTTTATCTTCAACTCATTCTCGAGGCTACAACCAACAACCTCCGGAAATTTCTTGAGCATCTTGGAAATATCATCATCTGAAAGGCCTAAACTCCTCAAATAAACCAATATAGCATCAATTTCTTCAAATTTTGGCACAACTGGTTCACGTTCTTCTCCCCAATAAGGGGAACGAACAAAGCCAAATGCTTTTCCTAATATTTTATCCTCCTCCTCTACAGTAAATTCAAATCCTAAAAGCGCTTGTCTACAAGCTTCCCATGTCTTCTTATCTTCCTCGCTCAAAACTATCTCTGGAGTTTTTCCAGTCAAATGTGTTCTACATCTTCTAGACGCTAAACTTTTAGCGAGAAAAAGTCGTTTGTTCTCACTAGGTAGATAACCATATGACAACTGTCTTTTGGATGATATTGGATTTGATGGGCATGATTCAAGATCAGGCTGAAAAAAGTAGGAACCAAATTAGACTTGTACTCAAGCATTCAATCATTCATATCCAATAAAAGAGAATGGGAAATGAACACTAGATGCAAGAACAACACTTCTGATGTCAATAATTTCATATTAATACCATCAAATTTTAGTCTATGTAGAATTACTAAACATATACACTTTGCACAAGCTGCGGGTCTTCTCGCTCTACTCTTTGGGGAGTAGAGGTAAGGTCTGCTACATCCCACTACCCCCCCTGGCACCGGGCTGGGGACCCTACCTCTGGTCTGGTGAGACATTCGGGGTTCATTTGGTTTGGTTTACTGTTTACTGTTTACCCTTACAAAGTTAATGAATATTTCCCTTTAACAAACCTAATTGTCTGATCAGTCTTTTAGATGTAAAGAGAATTAAGAACGGAAAATTTAAGGCAATTTCATTAGTGCGTTAACATGTAGAAGCAACATCAAATCTGCTGGTCACTMTGTGAAAGGAGACAATCTGAGGGTATCTTACATGGCAAAAGAAAGAACAAATACGGCCATATCGACAGGACTCTTAATGTGATAATCGGGTTTTGAGGTTATGCACTTGAGGTAATCCTTACATGATTATTATTTGATTATGTGAAAATGTGCATATTTATATATGAGAAAATATGTATGCATGAGAGTGATAATATGCATATGTG